TATATATATATATATGTAAGCGTTTTGCTATATACACCAAACAATTAACAGAGAAAGTTACCTTAGTTAAAACGACCACCTAACAGATCTGCTGTCACAAGTTCTCAACAAACACTCCCTGGCATGGAAGTATAGTCAACAAGAAGGCAATTATGTAAAGAGGAAGGAACTGGTGTGACATCAGTAAAGTGAGAGTCTTTTAAGTAAAACTGCAGCTTAGTTGCCCTGACCAAGGTACCCAAACCATTTGATGAATGATGTTACAGCAGATCAACCACAGTAGGAGGTTGCCACAGGAAGCCACACGTTCAAGCACCAGCGGGAGGTTAAACCCAGCTGTACCACACAGCCAAGTCATATGGGCTCCGCAGCCTGTGGTCTATTTGTCACCAAGGCCCTCCCCGCCTTCACCTGTTTGGATGACTGAACTCACAGGTGCCTCCTGGCATAACACTACCGCATGTGATCAAATACCTGCTACGTGGATTTGTTTGTATTCTACAATGCATGTTGGTGGCAAGTGGGCTGCACGATCAGCACCTGAATCGGGCTCTAAAATCACCAAAGACCGCGTCCTGCAGCTGGGCAGCTCTGTCAATAATGCAGAGTCAGGCGCAGACAAAAAGAGCCCGTGCGTAACGCATCCTTCCACGGTCCGATAAGAAACGTGAACGCACGGTGCTGAGATGGAAACGATATGATGGCCCCCAAAATGCATCTTTTCATTTGAAACAGAGGTTAAAACCTGTCATGGTTATGAATGTACGGTCTTTTTGAATTAATGCTTGTTTTTCCTTTCTCGGGGAATCCCTGTGCTCATCAATGCGCGCGCACACGCCAGATCCCGGTTAAATCCCCGATCCACAAGGTTAAACATAGATCAGAAACTAAGTGCCAGCTCTTGTCACGAGAGTGCAGCTCCAGTGGGATACTCTGGCCATTTCTTTTTGATCGCCCTCATGTCCCAGACAGAAATGAAATCGCCCACCGTTAAGAAAAAATAGAAAAAAAGGACCTACCTGGAAATCTCGAAGCTGCAACCCTTCCGAAGGAGCAAGGCTCTTTTCCGCATGATGCCTTTGTCTTTCCCAAGATACACATTTTTTTCTGAATTCATGGGTGCTGGGCAAACAGGTAGACTCGGGGAAACCGCGGCGCTTAAGAGAAAAAAAAAAACAGAAAATGTCCAATATCGAGCAATGGACTGCGAGAGGCGGAAGAGGGAGAGAGAGAGCGAGGGGGGAAAGGGAAAAACAGGGTAGAAAAAAGGCTCTGTTGGCGCTCAGTTCACCTCAGTGGAGCAAGGAAAGTGGGCTTGCAGACTTTCCTCTCCTCAGGCTAGACAAAAGACTGCCCGCTGAACGCTTTCAGAGATGCATGTTGCCGCGGCTGGTTTCACTTCATGCGCGCTTATTGGAGCAAGCTGTAGCGGGGCTGCTGCAGTCGTCACCCTGAGCGGACTGCGCTGAGGAGTCTCCGTCGCTCCAGAGATCCCGATCCTGTTATCCACTAATGTGGAGCTCACCGCGCTCCTTCAGCTTCAGCCCAGCACTGAGTGGCTGCTCGTCAGTGACCTCATAAAACCCGACGGAGAGAGCGAGAAAGAGGGAGAGAGAGTAAAGAGTGAGCGAGAATTGAGTCAAATTAGGTTATTTGCGCGTGAGAAAGGAAGATAAATTGATGAAGTGAGAGTTGAACCGCGAACGTGATTTATACTCGTGTTGTATCTTAGTAAAGGAAAACTGAGGGCACTCTCCACCAAACATGTAGGAGACTGATGTGCTGAGTTTTGGACTGTCTCAGTAACACATGTTCGTGAATTTGCTGCACTAGGGCTTAAACCCTTCAATGAGCCACATTGGACATTTTTATTTATAAAACTTCTTAGTGAAAAACAAAAAACTATTAAAAAGAAGAAAATCAAACCAGCGGGAAAACCTGTGTCTGCACATGTTTGAAAAAACAAAACCAAAACAAATCTGTGCTGATGGCGGTAGCTGTGGGTAACCATCAAATGTTTATGGGTGGGCAACTTGATGTCTGTGAAGGTTCTCAGTCATCCAGGTCATCGTAGTGTGGGCAACTTGAGTTTTGCTGTTAAGATGCATCTCTGGGAGATGTACATGATGTGCCTGATTTTGTACATGATTCCTAACAAACATAAGCATAAGAAACAAATGTGTTAAACTTGGAGTAAGAGCGCTAATACGTTCTGGTCTGTAGCAGCTATAGGTTGACTGAAAAACAGCAATCACTTCAAGAATGAACATTTGTTCTTAGTGAGAGTGAGGGCACTTTCACATAGAACCAGCATGTTCTGTGCTCTGAACCCCCTTTTGTTCTGTCACATAATAACAGTGTCCTACTGCATAGGAAAGCACAGCCCAAGCACACTGGACAGGGAGCTCTTGTGTATCCAACAAAGTTCAATACAGTTGAAAACTTTCTATTATTGTAGAGTCTTAAGCTTACAATATAAAGCATCTTGAAGCAACTGTTATTATGACTGGCGCTATATAAATACAGCTGAAATGTATTCAGACACACTCAACACATTGACACGACTGATAGAAATGCAGAATGACAGGGAGTCATGGTCACACGTGAAGACCATGACGCTGCACTAGTTGAGCACAGTGGCCAGCTCAGAACAAATTGTGGACATTTCACTCAACCTAACTATTGAGGGGACACAGGAGTTATTTGGAAGTTTATTGTCTTGTGCATATGTGGTAGATGCTTGCAGCTCTGACAACAAGACACTATTTAATACCCTGAGAATGACAGCAGACTGGTCCCACTGTGCTTTTGTTTCTGCTGTTGTCTAAATTAGACTTGCGATAAAGCAGTCATCAAAAAAAAATCAGTCAAAACAATACTAATGCATCTGTTTTGTTGAAAAGAGCAGTGCCGTTTGTGAAAGAAAAGATCACAGAATCTGAAACTAAAAGTTAGAATATGAATGTATGTTTTAATACCTAGGTATTAAAACATACCCCTGATCATTTCAATACATGCTGTCACATGCATCTGTCCAATCATCCATCCCGACACTAATTGGGTTCCAGGTCGCCCTGACAACAGTCAATGCTGGGACATCCTTCTCCCTGGCCACCTCCAGCAGCTCTTCAAAAGCAACACCAAGGCAGAACCAAGCCAAGCAAAGCAGAGTAATCTATCCAGCATGTCCCAAAGGCTCCTCCTGGTAGAACATGCCTGGGACACCTCTCCTAGGTGGCACCCATCCAATAAAATGCCCAAACCACCTCCTCTGGCTTCTTTCAGTGTGGAGGAGTAGAGGCTGTCCTCGGAGCTCCTCCCTAATGACCGAGCTTCTTACCCCATCTGTAAGGCTGCGGCAACTGGACTTACAGTTGTATTACTTTTATCTCATATTTGCCAGTGTTAGTAATATACTTTGATTTTCACTTTTATTACTCATCCTTACTGATGTCGCTATTACTGTATTTTGCATTATCCTGTAATTGCGACCACAGCTGCTGATGAGCAAGCATGATTAAGTAAACATTACATTCAGTATATATATTTCAGATGGTTTTTGTTTTGTTTTGTTTTTTTAAGTTTACTTTTTACTGAGTGTGGATTTTTAATGAACAGTATCCAAAAAAGTCGACTAAAAGTAGACTGGGATTTAATCTTGTGCTTTAGATTATTGTTCCTGTCTAAAGATCACATTTTATCAACTTCTTTGGCACATTTGTGGAAGCATTTTAAAATTCACAGAACTGAAGCTGTATTTAAGAAAAGAAAAAAACTTTATGTATCGAAGACCAGCCCTGTAGATAACATGGAAAAGGCTACAAAAGTAATTCATCCAAAAGCTTTCAGGTTGTACTCTTTGCTTTGGTCCAGTTCTTTCATGAAGGTTCAAGTTGTCAAAACAATAAGTGGAAATTGTCACAAATTGAGCTTTTTTTAAAAAAAACAAAAAAACATGTCCACACATTAACAAAAATATATTTTCATTATATTTAATTATAAGAGCTAACACATGGAGTCCGTTCATACAATCCCCTGAGGCTTGTGCTTGTATCTCGGTTAAATGATTTACAAATCCTTCGCTTCTGGTTATATTTACATTTCATTTGCCTGATTTACACTACAACGTATGACAGAAATACAAAAGGGGGACTTTCGCAAGACATGTAAATCTTGTAGATTTAGAAATGAAGTATAAATATTAACTGTTATATTTTTGATTTTTTAAAATACGAGTGTACAAAAATTTCAAGGATTAAAGAAAGAAAGTGAGCTTATTTAACTAAAGCTTGTTCTTTATCCAGTGGTAGAATTTGTTTTTTTTGTTTGTTTGTTTTTTTCATTTTTCCTTGTATGTTCGTACCTTTAAGTAACTCAGACGACTGGATATCAGGCTTAGTCCTGACCAAATCAGGTGCCACTCACTCAAATCGCTCCCAGCTGCCTGAGTAAATTCCTCCTTGGTGCCCAAAATCAAATGATCCACAAAGAACACAGAGTAGGAGAGAAGACTGAAGAAGGTCTCTGCAGTCAGCAAGAACCAGCAGTCAGAAAGTAACTAAAACTTCTGACCTGGTGCAAAAACCCAGAGAGAATGAACAAGAGATTAATTACTTTTGGCATGTCTCTCTTTTCAGAAGTCAGAGACTAGAAACCAGACAGAATCCAGGCCCAGAAGAAGCAACCTAAAGATTTTCATGTGGTCTCCAAAAAAGATCTCATGCCATTGAATACAGAGTGGGGAAACTGGTGGTTTTTAAGGCAGGAGGAGAAGGTGGCAGCCTAGTTTAACATCCCACAGCAGAAATATGGAAACAAGGAAAGACCTGACTTCCATGAAAAAAAGGACAATATTATTGCCTGATTAAAATTTTAAACACATAACTCTTGAAGCGGAGGTTCTGGAGAATTACCAGTAATAGAAATCAAGTCTCTGAGAGCGGAGAGGTCAAATCAAAATCAGCGATTTGCATTGCATGAAACACAAGCCGGAAGAAAAAGATGTGAGCTGGACGAGACCTCAGGAACTGCTGCAAGACAGCAGAGAGAAAAAGAGAAGAGCTGCAAACATCCAAGTGATCGTTTTAGTGCACGTTGGTCACGGTCCTAATTCTAAAATCTTTAGTTGCTATTTCACAAGATGAGTAAAATCTCAATCTATGACATCATTGGTCACTGGCCTTTATCCAGAAACCTCACATTCGACACCCCGCTGGTACACCTGCCAAGTCTGAAGCTGATTGGTTGACCGGCTGTAGAGAAAGAAAAAGAACAGATGGACACAGACACATACAGAGATTTCTGAAGTTATTGGACCGATGACTCGGTGGATTAGCAGCTTGTTCTTGTGTCACATTCGGTCTGCAGCAGACTAATTAATGAATGTATGTTTGCTTTTTGTCTTTCCAGAATCTTGCCTAACTGTCCAGCGAGCAGAAGGCCAAGACAAAAAAGGCAAAAAAAGAGGCTGAAAAGATGACAATTTCTTCTTGCACCCTCTCAGCCATCTTCCTCTATCCAGTATTACCTTTTAGTTTTCCTTCTAACCGCACCTGCCACTTTCATAACCTTTTACCCTCCTAGCCTTTCCTTCAGGACCTTAACCTCTAAGTTCTCTGATGCTCTTATTTCTCTTCAATCTTACTACCAACCCCCCCAAAAAGAACACATCCATTTATCCCCCGCCCCTCCACTTCTGCCTTTTACCTCTTCAGCCATACCACTTTCCCTATCCAGCCACCCCACCAAACCCTACTAACCCCCTTCACAGCCCTTTATGTAAGAACTGATGTGAAACATAATGCAATTGCAATAATAGAGAAAAAAAAAAGATGCTGTTGTAAAACAGTTATTAAGAATTAGAACCCAAATGGACTATTACAGACATCTTAATAAGGATGCCTGCATAAAAGTGGAAAATGAAATCAGGAAAGCTAAAATGAAGCATAGGAAAAATGCATTAGAGCAGTGGACCTCTTGGAGCCACCTAGGAAAGTTTAAAATAATGGCCTTGTTGAATCAATGTGCAAAGGAAACAAAACGAATCTATTTTGTGCTTTAAAAGGTCTGAGTTCACTGATAATGTCTCCACGCATAAAGGTATATCTCCGAATGTGTCACAGCCCTATTGGGAGGGCGAGAACAAGGAAGGGAGCTGGCCCTGATGCTGTCTGTAGGTGTGCGCTGTGCTGTTGTGGGTCAGATTAATACAATTTGTCTGAACATTTGCAGATTTGTTCCAAGCTTGGCCAGAAACAGACCTAGAAAATTCTGGACTTCTTGAGAAAGCTGCTGTCTACTGAAAATCTTCTGCGCTGTTGTCTTGTCCTCAGAATTTGAAGTCAGATCGTGGTTATGCTCTGTCTTTTTAAAATGAGGTCACGGTGACATCCAAACAAACAAACAAAAACAAAACATTCATTTTAAGAAAAGTAACAATAAACCAAATCATAGATTGATAAGTAATGAGGATATTTGAACTGTTGACATATAATAATAATAATAATAATAATAATAATAATAATAATAATAATAATACGGACTGTGTTTGAGTTCACACAAAGTCTGT